GTTGTGTCACACACGTGTAAAATTAAGGATTAACGATATTTAACGTTATCTGCTTACACGGTTGGCCTGGCTGCATCAACATGCTTTAACAACTGTGGGGAGTTTGCTTAATGTAGGCCTACATAGGAGGTAAAGGATTTATGTAAATACTAAACTGATAATTTAAAAACCAAAGATTATTAGTCTTTAGTGTGTTAGGACACGGTTAAAATATTACAATTATCTCAAATTATTAACATACCAAAGGAGTTAATTGATTTACTTGTTTTATCGTCTGTAAGCCAAGAGATTCGTTGTAATTCTATTTATTTTTATCATTAGTTAACCACTCAAACGTAAAGACAAAGGTAAATGTATCAATATTGTATAACTTTACAAAGGCTGATGAGATAAAGGAAGGAAAACAAATAAAATCAGCATTGAAGATCAGATCTTCACAAAGACAAAAGGAATATGCTGACAATAGAAATACTCTTCATGGAATAAGATTTGTTTACTTCTTAAAGGTCTTTTGATCTGTTTTATTTGAATAATTGTACTGCAGGATTGGACTATGTTTTAAAATTAAAAGGATAATAGCCCATGTGTCTACTATTACCTTTCTTATGCTTTCTGTAGACAAACAATATAATTTACGATTTATTTATATTAAGAGGTTTTATAAGACCAGCCAATATTTTTCAGACTAATTTGGAAAGATTTGTCAATTTATTAGTCATTAAAACAGTATCCTGACAACTGTAATTCACTTAACGAAAACCCAATCATATAAGTCGGGTAAATGAAATGAATCTTTGCCTTATAAAAAAATTACTATTATTATTTCACAAAAGATAAAATCATGGAAATTTTTCAAGTTCACTGTTTTACCTTAGTATAATTCCCTTGCTATTTGTACGTAAAGGTTCAGTAAAATAACCTATACAAATGATAATGTAAAGCTAGTACCAAAAAGGATCTTGGTTTGCTTTAGGACAGTTTCCTTTTAGATTGTGTAGTTGACATAAGGGATTATAACTGTATAATTTAATTCAAAATTATCCAAACATGCACTAACCTTTAAATCCTTACCCCGCTTTGTTACAATGTTTTGTACAGGATCAATTGGATATTGACATAGAACATGGACAAAACATACTGGTGATGGTGTTTTGTATACAATTTTAAGCTATTCCTTTTTTCAATTATTTAAATAGATAAATACTTCTCAAAAAAGATTAACAAATCCTAAAGAAACCACGATTTTGCTAACAACAGCGAAAAGTTGAACTGCCACAAAGTTTGTTTCGTCAAAAGGGAAATGTCTGAGATCGTGTGCGTAAAGAGGCTGCGAGAGTGAACCCTTCAAAAACAATTGTTTAGCTCAAGAGACACCCAAGACAAGGGGGATGAGACGCCCCTTCCACAATTCTGCATTCTGTAATTCACTTGTGCTGCAAATCGCATTCCGTTTCGATTCACCATAACATAGCCTTCAATTATGGATTCAAAACTATTCGGATTTTGAGGTTAAGTCTGATATTAATTAATTATTACTATTGACCAAATTTGAGTTGAATAAGGTATTTAAAAAAATGTGTCTGTTTCCCTTACTTTCATCTGTCAATGAATCTACAATCATAGACTAGTTATGATTAAATATGTGATCAGAGATGTATATTTGATCCTGGGTTGTCAGAAAAATGGATTATCTAAATACTAAGTTACATATAATGCACCTAAATTACAGATTTACATTGTACAATATACAGAGTGTTTCCAAATTTTCTGGACATATTTTGTGAACTTGTTCCTTGGGCTAAGACAAACATAAAATGCCACATTAGTATAGGTCTAAAATGCCTAGATTTCTGTTTGTCGGTCCGTTTGTGATTTTTTAGAATTATTTTATATCTTGGGCATTTTTAAGATATAAATTTTCAAATTGGTATAAATTTGTATTTTGGTAGGTAAAAAGAGCTTACAAGTTTTCCTTCCAAAATCTCAAGCCGTTTCAATATGGCGGCCATTTAAAATCTTTAATGCAAAATTTAATGAAAACCGTAAATATTAAGAAAGTTGTTTACGGATAAAAAGGATAGAGAATTTAAATCCAAATCAAATGAGACCTTGTATATTAGAATCGGATGACAAACAACCGAGTTATCAGTTTTCTTCTACATTCGGTTACGCAATTTAATATGACTTCCATATTTGTTATTATTTTACAGAGCAATATGGTAGTCCTATCCTCCACTAAAACTGTTGACTCACAAGACGGTAAATACATATGAAAGATGCTAAGTTTGGATTTTAATTGGACACTCCAATCATCGTCAGACCAAAATAATAGCTCAACTAACTACATCCAATATATATTTACTTTCTTGTACTTTAAGTGTAAATATATTATTACAAGTGTGGTTTGATCTTTTGTACTTTCAAATTTAGTATCTACATAACATATGCAACAACAAAAAATAATATTTTTATTTAATTTTGATTGACATAGTTATTTAAAACCATTGATGGTTATTATTAACCTACTATTGAAATTGTTAGTTTATTCATAAGAAATACTGGTGGCAACATCTGGAATACCGTAAGAGATCAATGTTATTGTTTGAAAAACACAAGTAAAGGACAAAGTTCTCCCCTAGGCTTGAGAGTGAGTAGCTATTTTCCTTAGTTTGTCGGCGTAAACAAAAACAGCGTGCTTCATTGAAAACAACCCCCGCCATATATAACCTGGTGGGAACTTAAGCTTTTCCTTGGTGCTTAGTTGAAAAAAGTGTTATTTGTACATCTGGAAAACAACCCATGTGTTTATGTGTTTAACACTTATTATGTCCAAAATACTAATGTCCTTAATATTTGTATTAAACCCACACCAACTAGTGGGGTTCATCTCTTTAAATATTATAGTTGACGAAACATTTAGGCCTATCATTTTGATTCACCGGTGACAATTTTTAAATGGAAAAAATACGAGTATTATTACAATGCGCTAACCTCGGCTTCGTTGCTACCGTAGTTCATTTATAAGGAGTTTATTTTAGAATAAAGGGAGCTATTTTGTTGATAGGCAATTTATTAAAAATATTTGTAGTAAAATGAGTGTTAAGTTTCTTAAGATCTGGTTAATGTGGTTTGAAACAACATGTAAGCTTGATTTTGTATTGTGAACACATAAGTCATAATCGACTAACCTCATACTTTAACTCTAAAAAAGATTTTATAGGTTTGTTAAAGGATAAGATATTGCTTATAACATAAGAGAAAGCTACAAATATTATGTAGCTAACACAAAGACATATTTAGGTATAACGTGAACTTTTAGGTAAATTGTATAACTGTAAGTTCATAGTGAGTCGGTGGCTCAGTCGGTAGCGTCGCGGACTTCGGGCCCAAGGCAGCGATGTCGTGGGTTCGGATCCTGGTCACTGCCGATAACATTTTATCAGTACTGTACAGATCACCTTTGTACTGTACCGGCTCACTCCTTGCTTTGCTGTAAACGATCCACGCACGGGCGCTTAGTCTATGTGGACGGGCAAATGCAAGGTAAAAGAGGCCGCCAACCTCTTTAAAAAAAAAAAAAAGTAAATTCTTGTGATTCCGATGGCGCTACCATGCGTCTGTCAGACTTCTAAGTCATCACTAACATTGTTGTCTCATCCGTTACTTGCAATGCAGCCATGTGCATATCCACTCCCTTGTTCCAACTTAGACATAAACCTTTTTTGAGGTATAGTTGTTGCCTCCCAAATTCGTTTAGCCACTAATTTATCAAACAAAGAGACTTTTGCGTCATGCAAAAAGACCCCCAGCCCTGAAAGGAACTTGACAAACGCTCATTACTAGCTTATAGCTAAAGCCGTCTATACTTATTCGTATAAGATTTTAATTTATTTTAAGGAAAATACGGTTATGAACAGGATTCTTCTTTTAATACACAGAAATATAGTGTCGTACTCACCTAGAAAGTTGATACAGTCCAAAATACACACTCGTAGTGTAATGCTTATTTTCAATACTTTTTATTTAGTGTCCTTTTTAAAAGCTTTTTTTATTTGAGCAGAGAAAGTTCACTTATATCCAATTACAATTTTATAATTTTTGTACAAGATTTATTACAGTTTTAAAAATTTCTGAATATGTTCAGTCAAACACGTTTTTAATCTTTAGAACAGACCTGGCCACAATACACAATAGATTGTTTTTAAAGCTTTGTTTCCCAAATTCTCCTCTGTGTCCAGAACCATAGGACGACCTTTTATTACTATGAAATAGGTTACAAGCCAAATTTTAAATGGAAAATGAAAAAAAACTTCTTAACGCATGAAATATATTGTACAAATGACACTTGCTCAAAGTAAAAACCTAAGGGAAACCAAAAATAGTGTATTACGTTTTTTCTCCTTTATACGTTTTTTAAGTAGTCGTAGAAATAAAATGTTTTATTCATTTTATTTTAATATTGAACATTTCAATGTTGTTTAGTTTTAGTTTAAGCCTGCAATTGTCTTTATTTTTAACACTTAATCCGATCACAAATGTTGATACTTTTTTACCATTATGTTTTTCTCCCAAGATCAAGTAATCTAATATTTGGATACCTTTGTTAGAGATCAAAATTAATTAAGACATTTCCCATATTTTTATTACTACTAAGTCCAAAAACTATGTTGTTTAAAACAACTGAAGGTCTTACTTTTTTACGGTAGGTGCAAATTTTGATAAATATTTATGGGTTTATTTAGACCTTTAATGCCGCAACATCATGATACAACGCCCAAATGTCAAAATTAATACTGTAATTTAATAATGTAATATAAATACTGTAGTAATTTTCTCCTAAATAGATCTTACAAATTTACGAACAACTGGATCCATCATATTTGCCTTTTAGTCATAATGATACATCCATCTGTATCTTGACACAAAATCACACGCAAACCTATATTTAAACTATTAACCACAAAACGGTTATAGGATAATAACAACAACCAATAGCGTATGTACATTTTTATTTCGTATAACAATCAATCGGGTATCACAGGAACTGTATAGTAATCTAAGCCGGAATTTTTGAGCTGAAGATCGCAAACGCCTAACTTATTACGTGGTCTCCATGGCAACCAGGCTGGGCTAACTTCAAGTGTTTCAATATTTTATTCATCTCAAACTACAGTAATTTATCGAGCATGAGAACAAAAACTTGCTATAGTCATCTGTTCTCAATGTGTACATCTTTACAAAGTAGTATCAGCTAATGAATTTTAACAGAATGTTTAATTGAACACCGTATACGATAACTAACTTTTGACACAGTAGTTTAGGAAACTCATTAAAAAATATAAGTAAGCTATGTGTTAGCTGGTATTAGATGGATTGATGGAATTTTAGAAATAACTATCGTTTTAAACCGGCTTAATTTGTTTTTCTTGTGAAAGAGGGATTTATTTAATCAAAATCTTCATTAGTTTCTTTGACTTTTGGGTGCATATGTTAATTTATTTTGCTAACCAAGTTTTGTATTACAATATTTTGTCTCGAAGGACCAAACAAAAAGTAAAAGTATGAACTATTTTGAGCGAAGGCTGAACTTTAAACAGTATTCAATAACTTAGAAAAATGTTTGCCAAATTGTTTTATTAGTACTTTTAAGGCTTTTATATTAGGTTTTAAATTATTAATACAATCTTTTATTATTAAAATACTCTTTTACTTAGTTTCAAGCTTAATGCTTAATGTTTAAGCTTAATAATAATCAAATACTTTAAATTTATTAATTATTGCTTAAAACATAACATTTTACATAATTCCATACTGAAATTTAAAGCTTTTAAGGCTATATGTCTAAAAATACAACTTTATTTTCATAATTATATAAAAAATATTTATACCTACCATTCTCTATTTGCCATCCTTACAGGAAAAACTTCTTATAACATATTTATACACATAAACCATCTTCAGTTTTCAAAATTAAAATGTAAGATCGGAAGGTTCCCTTTTACTTGTATATAACACCCTCTGTATCATTATAAGACATTCAGTCTTTCCTAATATTGTGCCTTCAGCTCAACTAGCGCTGCCAACGGTGGTAGCGAGTAGTACCAGCATCACCATGGCAACAGCACACCTCGGTGGGTGGGGGTGATGGTGGGGGGCGATAGACACGTCGGGAGGGAGAAACACCGATGTACGTGTGTTGGCACGCACCACTTGAGACCGCCACCTCACCCTGAACTGCGGGGGAATGTTTGTCATCGCTCGCAACCTGTGAAAATGTCGTCCAACGTGATTATTTTAAAACTAATAATTTGAAACTGGTAAAACCCTAAAGTAAATTAATCTGAAATAGATCGAAATATTCATTTAAAAAAGGACCTGTTAAAACCATTTGACAACTGTAAACACTTCATAATTTCTAATTGATTTAAACCCAGTTAAATTTATTTTGTCATGTCGAACCGTATATTGATAAATGAATATATTTATAAAATGAATGAAAAAAATTAAAGCTCTTCCACAAGACATACTCTAGTAATGAATAAGATTAAAATGAGTTCCGATAAATAATTTAAAAGCCATTTCAATTTGCAAAAATCACATGTGGGAAGATGGTAAGTAAAATGTATAGCTATCTATGTAAAGCTCTCCTCAAACTATTGTTTTCTAAAACTATTGTTTTCTATACGCTAAAACAGATCAGTAATATTTCATAACTGCGTAGCATACCTGATGATCACAATATTGACTTTGAAAGGCAGTGTATAGTTCCTGGCACCATCTCTAGAGCAGAATGTATGAAGGGTGTTGCCAGCGTGTTCTTCAGCGGGCTCATAGTACTCGTGGATTGTTAAGTTCCACGTTGAGCAAGGCCCTATGGTAAAAGATGATAGTAAACACAAGGTGAAAAAACAAGACCCTAAAAGCACAAGGTAATTAAGGGCTGACTTAGCTCGGAGAAGTATTCTTAGATGTAAGTACGAAAAGATCGTCTCAGACAAGGTACTTTAATAATAATACATCAGCGAAGAGTCTAAGGAATTGTAAATAAATAGAGTGAATAGCATTTGCTAGGTTTTAACCCAAGGGAAAAAACGGATGACGATGAAAAAAAAGGTTGTAGTCAGGATTATGACCTGTCCCTGATCCACCAGGGACATGATGATAATAATGTCAAGACAAACCGGATAAGGAAGATAGAAATGTAATTAGAGAATATTTAGAGGAAGTGAAGGCTAGAAACGCAAAATATCAATTGTACTGCATCATCATAATGCATCGTGCATGCTAGTCAAACATTTAATTTTCAGGACACACTCTCAACTCAGACTCGACAATAGTCGTGAGACAAACTACCGTAGCATGTAGTTGATACAGCTAATACAGGTAGAACATCTCACGTTATATAACAACAGTATGACTTAAAAACTTATCTTTTATGAACACACTGTATTATTGCTCTTAATTTACTGGTCTCAAAGTGCAACTTGAGTAGTAGCAATATCTAAATAATACTTTGATATAGGTAGTTGAATAACAAAAATTAAAATGAAACACAATGTTATAATGTTTCCACACGTAGTTATTAAATAATATAGCAATATTGTCTAAACCAATAAGAAATTCTACAATTGCATTTCCTCGTGGAACTGCTTGGCAAAAGTGTGGTCGTGAAGTGGCCTACTTACTATTTTGGTCACTCGACATCGAAATAGTTAGTTGTCTCTCCACGTTGGAATCAAGTTTCCACGTGCAGCTTTGGTGGTGAAAGAAGTTTAGTTGATTTGGTGTTGTGAAGTTTACTGACTCAATCAGACCTGTAACCAGAAGAAAAATGTATTAAGTTCCATTCCTTATGGTTTATAAAAACTTCTTGTACAAAACTTGAAGAAGACCAGAGAAACCTTTTGTTGGTAGGTTTTATATTTCTATTTACGATCCAAGTTCTTTTCATTTTTTATTTTTATTACTCTAATGCGAGTTTATATTATTATATTTTACAGCTCAGTCGATAGGTTTTATGTTTACTACGTTGTGTTACTAACATTGTAAATATTTTCTCGCAATACACAACAATGGTTTGTGACAAGAATGTTTTTTTTTATTTTACACCCTGTTTGACCATCAACATAAATTGCTCATTAATATTATAACATAAATAAATAGCAAACACTCTACATTTATGTGGCCATAAGTTGATAATCTTTTTTGGAGCTTTTCATAAAAACCATAATGAAAAGCTTAAACCATAGAAACTCAGTAGATAACAGGAAAGTTTACCAACACCTCATTGTTTTACCAAAACAAGGGACATGATTACTGACCACTTTACTGTTTGGTGACCGAATTTACCACATTGTCTGCCTACGTGTTCAAGTGGTTTGCTTTCAATAGAAACTTTCGGATGTGATTCTGGACTGAACGAAATTATCGTTGGTTATTAGTGGGGAGAATCAGTTATCTCATGTAAGGGGTCAATAATTTTTTTTCTTTTCTCTAAATTTTCTCTGGTGACCGTGTGTACATTGATATTTTGTTCCTACGTATCTTATTTGTTTACCTTTTAATTTAACTTCGTTCGTTTTATTAAAATATTACACAACTTTACCACCAACAGGCTTAAGGTTTTTAATACTTCAATACTTTTTTATGAAATGGTGACCATTAGAATGTAGATTTTTTTGGCCAAGTATGAATAGAGATGAGTGTAGGATGAGTAACGCGATCTTGTAGTCATAGTGGCTAAGGCTGACATGTTCCTTAGACACAGATAGCCAATGGCAACTAAGTGACCTACAGTGTATAGTGGAATCCGAACACATTTTGCCTTGTAATTAACGAATTTATCTAATTATCATGATAGTACTGTAGATAGTCATAGTGAGGTCATAGTGCGGATGGCGTTGGCGAGATTGAAGTGCATGCCTCCAAGACATTTGTTGTTCTGAAGTCTTCAAACCAGCTTCTCCCCGACTCTCTCACTATATTCTAAGCATCAACACTTGATCCAATATATATTTGTTATGTAATCTAATACCTTATAGGCACATTGTTTCCTATACCAATCTATTAGGTAAATCAAGAACTCAAATGTATCTACAAATGTTAAAGTAGGTTCTCACCCGAATGTTGCGTCATCATGCGATGTCCGCATACATGGTCGCGATGAAAGCGATAGTCTGTTTCATATTCAAACCCTCTGGTCGCCCAGTTGTACCTGGCTACATAGTAGACAAGCCTGAGAGGAGACCAGCTTCGTACTCCTACAGGCAGCCACTCCTCCTGAAATAGACAAAATAAAATTCAAAAACTAGATTCAGTTGAACGTATATGCTTCACATGGCAAAATAGTATTTGAAACAAAGATGTCTTGTTACAGCACATGTACAGCATCAGATAATTTAAAAATTGTTAAACAATTTGGTAATTTCATTACGAAAAGATTAGGCAGTATAACATTTTAGTATATCATCCATAAAGGAGAATTTTAATATTTTATATATTCTTGTTCGACTGACCTGAAATGGCCCGCAGATGCAGCACAACACTAGCCCAGTGTCAGTGACTATCTGCAGATGGTCCATATGGCTAAGAGGCAGCAGGTTGGTGACACAGTGACACCCGCCAGCACCACATTCTGTGTGGCAGTGTGTGTCGGCCGCTAGACGGTGTAGGGTCATTATCTAGACATAGGATGTACAATTATCAATAGATAAAGGTCGCATTGGTATTGGTCTGGTTTGAAGGTCGATGGTTCGAACCTGAGAGAAGTCAGCAGATATTTCTGATAGAAACTACTCCCTCAATTATGGAGATTTTCATGAATAATCATAGCTAAGGAAATAACTAATCTAAGAAAGTTAAAGAGTTATAATCAATTCTATTAAATACCCTTCTTCAACATAGTATGAGTGAGCTATGATAAGATATCACACCATTAAGATTCTGTTAGGCGCCTAATAAATCTATCATAATCCAACATACAATATGTATAGGTCAATCAGAGTTTTGAACTAATTAGGCACTCTAAGTACGTGATTATTTTATGTAAATGAACACAGAAGCTGTGGACAATGTCATTGCTTACAAAGTACCTACGTATGGAAAATGGAGGTAAGTTAGAATTATTCTGACCTTAGACTTGACCTTTGAATCGAAATATAGATTTAACATTTTTACCACGTTATATAGTTGTGCAGCACCTCGATCCAAAGTGAATTTTAAATCTTTGATACCATATGTATAGGTTTAATGTACCCACATAGTAATTGGTATCAGTCAGATGGGCAACCATTAAAATTTCAAAAATATCATTGCAAACTAATAAAGAAACTACGAGATTTCGAATGTGTACTCCCAAGTCTACAAGCTTATTGAATCACCCATAACAAGGGCAAAAGAAGGAAAGGCAAAGGAAAGGTATCAAACAGTCGTGTTTTAAAAGCCAAGAGGTCTGACGATATTTTGCCAGTCTGGTTACATTCTTTCCATTCCACATTCCCGACATTTCTACCTCTTACCGTGCAGGCTAAGTGCTACTTTCTCAAGCGCACTTGTTACACCTCGTTGGGATACGTTATTGCTTACTGGAACCACCCAAAACGTTCACTATAGTTTACAACGTTGTGAAATATATTTGCAATAATAATTACGTCATACTGTCATTTTAAAAAACTGTTGGATGAAATAGTCAATTTTTTCTATGATGTAATTACTGACATAACTAACTCTATATGAAATAAGAACTCAGCTTGTGTATTTAGGTGCTATTTTGTTATACCTACCACACCAAGTTAGGTTAAGTAACCAAAATGAAGTATATTTTCAATATAAAAAATAACCTAACTTAACCTAACCTGGTATGGTGAATATGGTAGTGGGAAAATCTGGTGAGGTCGTTAAACACAAGAACACCCGAATTTGGCCACATTTCAACCTTACTTTATATAACTTTGATTATTATGTTTCAGGTGTATTCAATATCTCAATAATATTCCGAAACTAGTATTTTTTAAGCAATAGTTTATTTAATTAACTTATAACTTTAAGATTTGATTAATTAAGAATGTTTAATAGCCACCCGGCAAACGCACAGACATCCCTTGCCTTTGTTTGCACACCATAAAGTTAATCAGATTGAGTGATACAAATTGTTTCGTTTAGGTTTGTTTTTCATTTTGTGTGTGTAAAGTATATAACAATGATGCTTAACAATTGTATTGTACTTATTTGTGAAGTATATAGTGTGGAACAAATAATATTATTTAATTAATTCTCATCCATCTAATCCAATAAACTTATACTGTTTAAAGCTAATGGAGTGATAATGTTTGCTTACATTCAATGAGATACTAGAGTTAGGGGAAGGCACAAGTCTCTGGGTACACTCAAGGCTGCCGTCCACAGTCCAATAGACCTCGGTCTCGCCAGGGTTGGTCAGCTGACCTCGACCTCGGCTCGTGGGGCCTCGGTAGACAACGTCACATAGCGAGCTGGGCGTTGGGGTACCTTGCACCATCTCTGTCGACAAACGAGTGTTTTGCAATAGTACGAGTAAGAAACGATTTTATGGGTCTTTCTCAAAAGAGGACCTAAAGTTTCTCTACACGATTAAATTGTTTTCAAATGAGTACCTGGTATTGAGAGGGGCAGGCATAGATGAATGAAAATCATCCGCTTTGTTTTGACCAATCAAAATTTAAAAAGGCGTAGTGGATTTTGTGATTATTTTTGTTCAGTAAATAAAATAAATGTGTAATCTGACCTAATCTAAACTGTGTTTTTTCCACAGTTCCCTCTTCTGAAAAAGACCCCAGCAGTTATTTATAAGAACCCTGCAGAAGTTAAACCTATATTAATGTAATTGTTTATTTCATCATAAGGGAGTATGTTTTATGATATCGACAGGGATCCGGTTATCAATGCCTAAGGATATTTTTCTTTAATATCTAGCAATGTTCGACATCATAACGATTTTTTCATCAAAGGTTTCCTTAGTGTATTTTAAAAGAAATTGTTGTACATGCATTGTAAAATTTTCATTACATGCATTTTCTAAAAACCATTAACAAAAACATTGATAATGAACTACAGTACTACAGTTATTAAAACATGTTTTAAGGTACAAACCATCGTGAAAGAGGAAAGCTCCTTGGACATATTCCATATTCTCCATTGTTCCGGAAGGAATGAATCTTTTGAAATTCAGCTGCACAATATTGCTTTTGGATATGTAGTTTTCTCGATCTTGGTATCTGTGAACATTGAAAACAGGCTGCAAAACTAAACAATGACCCAGTACATATGCTGATAAACATGTTATATATGTAAATGGCTTAAATGTTCTATTCAAAACTAACTACAATGACATTAAATATATCTAAGAACCAACTTAACTTCCCTAATTTGAAAGTTAGCAGTTTTAAACTTATCGAATAGAGATATAAAATATACGCCGTAAACTGTAAATGTATTTTATCGTCTACAGTTGCCAAGTAATGAAGCAAAAGTCAGACACAAACGATTCTAGATAGAGCGTTTGCTGTCGTATGCAGAAAGCCGGGAAGAGTAGCCAACATAAAGACCAATCAATAACCCATCAACTTTGGCGAGTCTGGACCAACTGCATGGAATATTTAAACTACTTTCATCAACTATGCACACTTGAGCTGAACGATGTGTTGTAAAATGACATAATGTGACCATCACATCATTAGGGAATGTGTAAAAGGAGCAGATGTTTAAGCTCTGTCCTATTTTTTATGTCTGTTGTTTAAAAATAATGTTAATAAAAAACAATATTAGCAAAATACAACGTAATTATTTTAAAATAACAATACATACGAATTTATATTTAACTGAAAAATATAAAACCAAAATTCACAACTTAAAATAGATTTTTTAAATTTTACTTAAGATTATGCTAATAAATCCCTTAAGAAGATTTAGCGGTAGTGCACAGGAAAGCTTAAATTGAAATCATAAACTAGCGAGAAGATTAACCCAGGTAGGGAAACTAAAACATTCAGTAGCGTTGAGCTTAGTTTATTATCAAGTTACGATGAGGGTTTTGGAAAATGCACCGCATGATTAACTATGCCAGTTTAAAAATGAAGTAATTATAATAAAGGAAGAACCGATTAATTACGAATTTGCAAAATATTAAATTCGACAAAAACTAAAATTACCTGCCACTGTTGTCTGTAATCCTTTTCGATACTGGGCTGCATATCCTCTTGATAAGTTTAGTCTGGGTGACTTTGTTGTATCCTTCAAATAGTTCAACGTAGGAACGACAACCAGTTGATCTGAAACAAACTACAAACAGTAAACAGGTTTGCCAAGAAAGATATGAGATTTTTTTTTTTTTATATTGTATTGTTACGCAAAATAAGTAAAATTAGGTAGTTATTTCTAGTTAGATCTAGGTAATTGTGTTTAAACGTAATTATAAATCCTAAAAAATGATTAAAATATTTATAAATGTAATGTGAATCACGTATATTTTCCACGATACCTAAGTAAAAAATATGTTTATGTAAACCATCCAATACCAATCGAGGCTGATTCTTAATTCAGTTTAAAATATTTAAAAGAATTGATAATAATTTCACAGACAAAATGGAAAAATGACACCTCACAGCCATTTTAAGGCCTTTCGGTACAGTACCAAAAACGCAATTTCTAGTAGTTCGCTGATCTAAATCGGTCAAACAATTTATACCTTATGTTATGTGATCGAACCTAAACAAACAAGTCAGCCCGAACTAGTACTCCCGTTATTTGACCAAGTCTCAAAGATCTTTGGCATTTGATTTAAAAACAGAAAAAGTGTAGAAGTCTTTTAGTCTAAGTTTTGAAATCAAATAGCATAGGCCATCTCTTTTGCTGCAGTTGATTATCAAACATTCCAAACACGTATTATTCATGCAAACAAACGTACGTTACCTAAGATTATAGTTGGCTAGTGATATAAACACCAGGTCGGTGTCTCCTCCTATGAACACCAAGGTGCAGTTATGTTGTGAGCCCTGCAAGAGTCCTCGGGAGTCAAACAGCCCGTTACGAGTCTGATTGCTGTAATACAACAACTCGCATGGTGGCGCTGAGGTAGCGTTTGTGTCTCCTCCCACTGAAAATGAATATTGTGTTCTTAAAGCTACTAAGGATGATGTCGGAAAAGATACATGTTATGTACTATAGACACACAGCTTCTTCAAAAGAGGCGTAAATACTGTTTATGGAGTAATATGTTTCCCCCTTTCAACTACTCGTTCTTTAATGAATGTTTCGTATAGTAACGTAAAAATTTTGTCAACTCGATTAACACAACTATTCTGACAATAAATACCATTGAATGTGAACTAATTAGTTTCTCCGTATCTGACACAAACCCTAATTAATACACCAGGAATTGGTGAATACATTATATACCGCTTCACAAAAATATAATGGTGTCGGATGCAAGTATTTTGACATCAAGATTTTATTGGGAGCATTATTACTTTATCATTATTTTATTGAGGACATACGTGCGCATATGTAGCTTTTTGGCAGCTTTAGCACTATTTATACTATTTATATTCATCGTAAATATGTAATAAAGACCAAATAATCTCAGAAGACATTGATAGATTGCATGTCGTGAACACTTAATGCTTTTACTGTATATAAAGTTATTAACAAATTGAACTCTAAGAACATTTTTCTTTACGCAAATCAACATGTACTTGTTATTACCACACTTCGTTGTTACCAGTTGTAAAATAAACATGAACACATATTTTAATTTAACGTTTTTAGTTAACATATTTGATAATGCCGATTATAACTACTCAAAACCAGAGGCTATTGTTTTTTTTTTTCTTTAAATGATCTGATTGAAACTCAATCGTCTTTGGGTTATTTATCAATTGTACATTTCAATCTTTAGTGACAGAAAGATTTGTATATAAATAATTTGCATCTTGCAAGATGTAAATATGATATATGATAATATGTAAATATGATACATGTAAATATGATGTTGTAAGATGTTGGCATGATGTCATGATATTGTTGCATGCCAACATCTTAAAAGGCTAAAACAAAAAATAATAAAATTATTCTTAACTCAGGAGGCAATTTGAGTCAATTTGTGGTTTTATGGTTAGAAACTGTATAATGATCCTTTCCACAGATGTTTAGTATTACAAATATTTAGATTGCCCTTTGTGGTAGAAACTCAGCTCCCCTCCCCTTGAGAAGCTTTTTCCAGGTAAGGTACACCTATTGCTTGTGGTGTGCTTTAGACCACTGTGTCGCAAAGCAAAGAAGTAAAGGTGATATCAGTTAAACTGAGACTCAAAAGTCTCTAATCCATTACGGTCGCACCCCTTGTGTGTGTTACCGTCGTAAAGGGAGCAACCAGTATACACATCGTGCATACACGAAAACAAAGACAATTTCTTGTGAACATATCTGCAACATTATGAATGTCTAAGTCATTACTAAATGTACTCCTTATGAATAACATAATTAAAAAAAACAATATATTTCAACAGACCGGACAGTGCTGTCTCCGTTGTCTTTGACGTTGCTCTGTTCGGCGCTTTGGTTGTTGTCGTCGTCTTCTCTAGAAACTCCAAGGTCGCCACGAACCCGTTGTAATGGAAGGGACTGACCAGAGGCCCTGAGCTGTAACACGTTTAGTTGAGGTTAGTGATTTATAGACAGTATGTGGAACAGTCATATTATTTATGTTATTTAATCCTGCACAGGTTATCACGATCTTTCAGGTGTTTTACAGTTGTTCAAGAGTTATAATAATTGTTAAGTGGTTGTTGGAAGTGCTTATACATTAATACATTCATACTTATACATTCATTAGTTCATAGTGTTGCATCGTTCAGTTATATTTTTTTCATACGAATTTTTGGTATGAAATTAACTCGATGATTTGAGCAACGCCAAGAGTTTAAAAATATAATCCATAAATTAAGCTAAATCAAATATTTATTAGACATATAAAATATCTTAATTGAAAACTTCAATAATCGAGACATGTTAAAACCATTTTTCACTGAAGTAATGAATATACCTACAATGTTGCATTATTTATATTAAAAATAATAATACATATTAAGAGCCAAAGTTTAGTGCTCCACCATAAAATTTACAATAAATTGACTTTTAAATTACCATAAAACTACCCTCCTTTTGGAATTCAACCAGCCTTAAACAGGACAACACTGGTGCAATAATTATTACCTTTCAGGGACATCTCTCTGCCAAAGTGTTTTCCGATACCAGACCTATCAATTGTCCTTCCATAAACTGCATCGGCATTTTCCAATATCGGTGATATTAACTTTCCTAATCAAGTACAGATTAACTCTCGTTTAATACAATTTCGTAAAACATAATTACGGAAATGAAATGAAATGATTCCGAATTTTACTGTTTTACATATCTGTTAATGAATAGTTGAAAACCAATAGTTTTACAATATTTATTTTTTTATAAAATCACATTGATTTACACTGTTAATTTGTTGAGTAGTGATTTTATTATGTGTAAGTATAGGTATTTATTTTGAAAAGTGATCATTATGAAGAAATGTGATGAGTTGATTCCTCACTTTATTTTTTATCTATAATTACCTGAACTGCACTAGAAGGTTAGGTCCGCCATGAACAACCTCTTGCTTCTTGTTGCCACACAGAGTGGATAGTAGAGGACTAGTCGACGAAGACCCATGGAATACTTTAACGTTGTCTGTTTTACAGTGGTCTCTGAACAAATTATTCAAAAAGTGTTCGTAATATAATTTAAAGTGCAATTCAATAATTCAAAATTCCATTCTATATTATAAACCTAGATACATTTTATTGGACTATCAAATAATTGTAAAGAAAACTCATAAAAAAATTTAAGACAGTTTTAACGAATTATGTTTTTGACTAATCTGATAGACTCACATTAATAATCCATTTCACTGTTTATAAAACACTTGGGGAAACATTTGTTGTATTAAACGAGTAAAGCAGACATTTCAGCTGAAATGTCAATATTATTAAATAAGCTTCAATAATTCAAAGTTAGATTCTCATAGGACTAAAACATATAAATGAAAACCTGAAATAAAAAGTGATGCAGATTGAATAATCCGTCAGTAACTTTAACTGACAAAGAATGAATGTTAAGTTATGCGATATTCTTTGAGATTCAATTTTAAATTCGTGATGTAAATTGAGTTTATTTCAATAATAAATTAAGACAAGTGCCTATCAAATTTGTTTCGTGTGATTTATATTTGCATTTATCCATCAAGACCGACATTTTCTATAATTTTTATACTCAGAGAGAACATAACTTCGTATGGTAATTTCAACTGCTTTATTTCAGGAGGTAGCCTACATAGAATAACTGCGTTCTTTTAACTCCAGTGAGATTGAAAATATTTTTAATAATATTAATTTTAATTACCTATTTAAATACAAATTGAAACCCATATTTGATTGATTTATATGTTAGGATTTAAAACTAAAACTCAAGAAATCATTGGGGCGTTTTTCTATAATGTCCATTTTTGTTAAATTAACATCTCAAGTTACAAAGGTCTTCGTTAAAGCAGACAGCTATAGACTTGGCAATATCAAACCCCTGACCTTAATCATGAAAATTATTGATTTTGCTTTTCAAAAGCAAATAAACAGGATATTTTAGGCTTTTTAGATACTGCTAAGAATTGAATAAACCACATCAATTGCTTTGAAATTCTAGGTAAAAAAATAAATTACATTGATTCATTCTTTATTGAGGGAAGTATTTGGCCTTATGGATCTTTCCTACACCTCTAAATATATAGCTTACTTCTAGATATATAGTAAATAGATAGTAATAACATAACATCATGAACATAAATAGGTCAACACTAAGTTTGTCAGTAAAAAAAAGCAACAAAACATTGTTGTTCTGCTAATCAATAGGTTTTAAAGCGTTTTCTTACCCAGTAGGCAAGGAGAGTGACAGGAACCTCAGCCTGACTCTGGCATGAGCGTTGCTTGTGGTTATCAAGTATTTGCATCGTTTGTTGGGACCGTAGATGCCAGGGTACCCCGGGGAAGCAAGCCTGCATACTCCTCCAGGCACATCCCTGCACCAAGTGTCTTGGTACATCCAGTCACACTCTGCAAGATGAAACTACGTTTGATGGCGATACGTAAACATTTATTATAAAAATTGATAACGGAAGAAATCCCTCCTTTTATGCTTCATGTGGATATATGGTTCAAGAACAATGTGTCTACTACTATGTGTCAAAAACAATAGATATATCCCTACCGTCACACAATAAAATCATATATAAAACATACTCCATTAATAGATTTATCATCCTTATTGCATAGCTGAAGGAAATTTTATTGTTAGTTCTGTCCGGTGAACTGTACAGGTGATGTTTTGTTTACAATTTGTTTTTTGTTTTTTTAGTAATTTAAAGCCTTCACTAGCCAAATAAAACGATCTAGTTGTAAACAATTACCTGTCCCCTAGTTATTAAACTAAAATTCACTACCACCCTCAAGAGGATTAGACACGAGTTGTATATAATATAAAGTAAATCAGTTGGAGATCATAATATAGATTGGATCTTGATTAAATCGTTAAGGGCGTTTAGAAGAAATCAAATACCACCTAATTATTCGTAAAGTATTACATTGTATCCTTTTTAAATACCTTGGCCTGAGGTAAAAACGGAAAAGTTAAACAGTCAAATAATGATATACTTATAAGATTATTTATAGATTTAAGGTTTATCACTTAAACTACACAACTAGCAATATGGGAGCGCTCCTGAATATAAATGTTTAACCTGGCGTTTTTGGGCACTCATACATTGCTAAGGTTGTACTCTGTAATTTATTTTTATTTTACATCTAATTTATTTAAACGTAACTTTCTCATACTAGGACTAAGTTCTCGTCATTCCTTATAAATTGTGTTTTTGACCACCCCTAGCTCCTCACCTTGCCCTCCCCTTCAATGTAACATACTCCCTCTACACTCTACTAAACTGTACTCACTATGACTGACCGGTATGTTCAATACGTCGGCCTCCCTTGGGCTGGAACCCTAGAGCAGGCTGGGTCTGTGTACCGTTGCGAGGAGTGAAACTGAAGTAGGCTAGGAACTGAGACCTTTCTGTGCGCTCCACAATGCTGCGAACAACAGTTACTGGTAAAGCCTTGTACATTAATATGTATTTATTGCCTTATATTCTTATACGTAGGACCAGGTTGGACTACATACGCTGTGTCAAGGTTCGTAATTTTATAGATAGATATTAACAATGCATTCATACTCCCGGGAAATACTGATATACCATTGGTGGTGGATAAGTGCTCGGAAACATGGGTTAACTTGTTGCCAAGGGGTTTGAATTTGTCTGAATTTTGTCATACAGTTTTAGGCTATGCCTGGAAAATGAATAGAATCACATGTGTTAAGAGCAGATTTATTAGCAATTTAACTGTCCTACACATCTGCGTGCTCAGTATTACCCATGAGTGCTGTTTCGTACTAATTTTGTTGGATCAATAAACATGAGTCATTGTACAACACGCAAGCAACGTTCGATGATTATTCAGTCACCTCAATAACTGTCTACCCTCTAACACGTAATGGTGTGATTTCCCTTTATACGTAGGATCTTTTTTTTACTAAAGTGAACAAACCACTTTTTACGAAATTCGTCATCAGTTCAATGTATTTGGTGAATTATTGTTATGGAATGATAAGAAACATGACACCCATTTAGACATTAAATAAAACCCATACGTGTGTTAAGAATGGTCATTATAAAAATGTATGTATAATTTTATGGGCATTTTACTAAGTTGAAGCATTAATTTTCCATGCATTTAATTCATTTGTTATAAGTGAATTAATCACTATTTATATCGATGTTATTTGGTCCAGGATCACTTCTTGAATATTAAAATGGTATAATATTACCTGTTTCCGTCTGTGATCCTATATTTGTTGTATAGAGCTATATACAACAAATATAGGATCACAGACGGAAACAGGTAATATTATACCATTTTAATAATCACTATTTAGTTTAGGCTAGGCGAGGTGTGGTTTTCTAATACTTCTACGGCTTCCGTTGGCCTCATGGATGAAATATACAATTATAAAATCAAACTTATGAATTTTATAACTAGTAATGACAGTTAACTTATACGTATATAGCATTTTACGCGTCATCAATTTAAAGTTAATAATCAAGTTAGCTTCGAGGAAATCTTTTTAAAGTTTGATCAAATGATAGCAACAATTACCATATTACTGGATACCTAGGTTCACATTGCAAATTATGTAGGCTATTCCTTACTTTTAAAATACCTAATTCTAGAATTTTTTTTATTTTTATTAAAAGACAAATAAAACCGTGTTAGAAGTTTGGTAATAATTCTGCTGCGATGAGTCATTGTTTAAAATAATGAAATAACCAGTAAATACTAAATACATAATTAAATGTAATGTCATTACCAATTAATTCAATCTAATATGCATTCAAGAACTCTACGAAATATAAGACTGACATTTGATATACAAAGTCAATTTAAACTATTTAAATTGGAAAGATAACAGTGTCTTCTGTGTGTATGGAAGACAAAATAATTCGTTGAAAAATTAAAACCATAACTCAATTACAAATGTGCCTTGAAGGCACTTGAAAAGTCCAAGATAGAAGAGTTTAACTGTAGATCCAAAGAACGGAGGTGAACAAGAGATAACGCCCAACTCTACAAACTTGACACATAAATCAAGTGCTCTCCTCAGCCGCTTATCTACAGGAGATTCCTTTGTCTAAAGTCGAGTTCGAGTAACATATTGTGCTCAGGTAACTTGAGAACATGCTTCAGCAGTTACAGTCGATGGCCTTATTGGTTACATTGGGGGGAAATTGAGTAGTTATATCAGAATATACTAGATCGAAAGATTATTTTCTCGTTATTGGGGAGTATAATAAAAATCTATTTTTATCTGTGTCAATAGTAAAAATACTATGAAATTGATCAAGTACTCTTTGAGAAAACGTTTATTTCTTTAATATACATATTTAATGTAGTAAATATAGTTCAAACGCAGTGAGAATCTTTACAAAGTGTTTCATAAGCTACATTTCAAGAGAAAGATACCTTTTTTAAGAAACGTATTACTGTAGTAAATTATATTATATAACCTAAGTCTAGGTCCGAAATACAACCATCTGTCTCAATGGTATTACCCTAAAATACTCTATGTTTAAACATTGACATTGGTTTCTCACTTTGACTACTGCTTCCCCGCAATTATTTGTATATTCATAATTAATAAGTTATTAAAAAAAATAAGTTGAAGCCAGCATATTTATCCTAAAATTTTCAAAAAGAGAGATGTTGGAAAACGTGACTTTAGCACTTGTTACATAACGCAATCTTGTTTTTCATTACATGATGTAACCAGAGGGTTATATAAATGTATAGCTTATGTTGATAAATCAAGACTTACTGAAATATCAGAGTTGCGGCACCTCTATCTTCAAACACAACAATGGGAGGAGCGTATCGCTCGTTGGTACCGCAGATCTGCGCGTCTCTAGCTCTGGGTATAGAGTCTAGGCCAGACACCAACTGTACGAACCCACCAACACAGCTGTAACCAAAAATGTGTGTTTAGTTTTAGAAAAGTAAACAATATTTATGGTAAATGAATGATTTTTTTGTGCAAATTAAATTAAATCTAAATCTTAAAATAATGTACTCATATAATTGTGTATTGACGTGAAATAGTTTTACAATTATAATTCATTTATCATGTTCATTCATCTATTTATTCAAGGAAATTAAGAGGTGGTCATAATGTTTATTGTTATGAACATACGGTGAATAACTACATGAACTGAGTTTAGGTCTAAGGACGTATTCTGAAAGTAATCATGACATTTCTTAATTGGTGCCTGCCAACTTGAAAATAACCAATAAAAAGATTTAACACTCGTTTTACTGACAATGTTCTAGTTATAATATGCCCCCAAGGTTTCGAAGCTAAAGGTTCATTTTCAAGCTGTTTACCAAGTTGATAAAATCCTTTTCATCCCTGGGTAAAGAGTCGTCAAATACATTTCGCGTAGTGTCTTCGGGTTCGAAACTAACAGTACAACATGACAAGTATGAACGGTTTTATTATCCTAGCATATGACTTCACATTAGTGATATTACTAATACCAACTACAGTGTTTATGTTTTTACACAATGTGGAAAAGATAATGTGCTTCAATTTACACATTTTTTCATGAGCACTAGATTGGCAAGATTAGAAATGACAAATTTTTAGATCATGACTTTATATGAGCAGACTACAAACTAAATAGAAATGCAATGGTCGAGGACTTGCACAATTTTTGTTAGTACCTCTTTAAACATATTCTTGTTCTTGTTATTTACAGTAGTTACCAAGCACCTTTCTAATGAACTTAAAATTGACAGAAAATCAAAGAGCCAACGACTTGATTTTGTTGCACAAAAAATACCAATGACACTTGATATGCATAACAAAATATGCATGTATATAGTTAAAATGATTTTTGTTTTTAATTAATTAACTTAAATTTAAAAATTTCCCCTCAATCATTCCCTGCCAAATAATAGCCAACATCGAGCGTACTGATAACATTATTTATCCTACAAAATGATCAAAACTGCTTAAGGGTAAGAAAACAATGTATTTACAAAAATCTTATATTAACATAAGATTATTAACATAAGGTCATATACAAACATGTATTTGACCTTTTGATTTGTAAAAGATTCATCCAAAGGCTAAACAATGAAAATAACCCGTTGCTCGTTACCTCATTTAGAGAAGACGCCTTGAATGAATGTAAGAATTAAAATAAATCAATTGTGACAGGAATAACTGATTATAAGTGCATGTAGGCCTAATCTTACGGAATTATAATCACAGGGAATCACAGGGTTAATGTATGAGAGTTAAAACTATTTTGTCAATAAACCAAAGCCCAGTTGATTAATACTCGTATCTGGAAGCTTAGAGTTCTGATTTTAACCACGAGTAATAATTAAACCTTGATTAGCACATGTCAACATTATTATTGAATTTCTCTCAAAAAAACTTATTATACGATTTTTGACCCCAAAAGAAATGCTTGTATACATAGTTAATATTGTTGAGAATTAAGAACACAAATATGCATGTACCCAGTTCCGTTGAACCTGCCAGTGTTGACGAGTCTGTATATCTGTATCTCAACTCTCTGGCCAGAGTCCGGTAACAGTCTGTACCAACAGAAGGCCGGACCTTCCACACTGGGCGACTTTATCTGACCGTACGTCTTGCCAGACTTCTCGTACAGGTTGCGAGAGCTCATAGTGATGTTACACACTGTAAATATATACAATACAAATAAAAACACTATGCTAAATAATGTAAGTAGTTATTATACAACAAAATTCTGATTGTAAAATGAAGTACCACACCTCGTTTACAAAGAGGATTCTATAATATATTTACAGATATGTCTTGGGATAAAGATTCATTATAATTAAAAAAGAAATATTGCCAAGCCTATTCCAAATATGTAATAGGAAATGTGTTAGCCTAACTAAAAGATACATCTTAAAAGCCTGGCTTTTCATTGGAAATATGTATTTAACATAAACATTGTGGCTTAATTTCTTTTGAGTTCAAATTAAACTTATCAAATTAAAATTAAACTTTCAAATTTAAATTAAAATTATATATTTTTTAAAAGGGTATCGTTAGATTCTTAAACTTGATAGCATATGTCGACTGTTGTTAGCCAAGTAAATATTTTAATACTATAAAATTAAAGTATTTTAAATACCTTTCTCTTGATTACCTAAAAGACTGTTTTCACCGCAGTAAAATAATAGAAAGTGAGTTATATTTCAGGGTAGAAGGTAGGGCGTTGCGGCGACCACGCCATTGTTTTACTTTCCTTGGTGTTCTTTATCTAACCAACACAAAGACCTTGGGAAAACAAAGTGTGAACTAAATTAATTTGGTTTATTCTATTCACATTTTAGGTTGAAAGTCCAATGATCATTGTTTAAAAGTTAAATTACCGTGTAGAGAACTAAACTATTAAACTCGTTTGACGAAAAACAAAGTATGTTTCGGTTATTTTAACTTTTTATTCAGTTTGAAAATGTATTGTAATTCTTTTCTGTCTCCTACAGTTATTGAAACAAATGTGTTTTATAATAAATAACTATATCAAAACTATAGATCGACATTATAATAAAACTTCATTCAGTGATATAAATGATTAGAGAAAAATTGTGCGTTCATTCAAAATGACAACCATATAGCTGAATCTTTGGACGGTTATAGTAAAAAAATACACCTTTTACCATACTAGGAAATAAAAGCCATCCAGCTAAATGTTTCTCTTTGAAACTGTTGATTGATTGCAAAACTATTGTATTAGACTTTTTAAGCTATTGTATTAGACTAATTGTAGACAATGTTTGTATTTAATAGACCCTAGTTGATTGATTCAGTAATAGAATGATCTATCAAAATATATTCTTTTCTAGTTTTATGAAATATGGTATGGATCACATTAAAACAACCCTTGGAATTGAACTCATTGCATTTTACTTCAAGAACTTCATACTCTTCGCCTCCTTCTCATCGATTCCACAGAGAATTACACTTACTACTGTTGCAGTACTGGTGTATTCCACAGAGAATAACACTTACTACTGTTGCAGTACTGGTGTATTCCACATTGTCCGCAGCGGTTGGGAGATTGTAGCCCGCACTGACACCCTCCCTCCTTGACACAACATGCACAATCATGTCTGGACAGGTCGTAGCTGCAGTGGCACCCCTCCGCCGTCGCTGTCCACATGTCTACTTGATCTGAAACATGTAATTCGTCCAATCAACGGGAGTTTTCAGACTACTATTTTAACCTTATAGTTGCTTGTTCTTCATGTTTCCCAGCCCTGTTTGTGGAAATTAATGGGTAGATTAGTACAGTGTTAGAATTAAATGTAAATCTGGAGTGGTGGAAATGTCACTTGAACCCACAGCAGTCAGCAGTTGAACCCACACTATCAACGAAAATCTAATTACTTAAAAAATTAAATTTAAAGACAAAAGTGTTCAGCAGTCAGCCTTATGGGTTACTACCTTGGCAACGATAATCTTAAACATCGACAAAAGAATTTTTAGCCGAATCAAATATAATAGATGATTAAAAACAAACCTCAAACCATTGACTATTGGATACTGAAGTTGTATTTAATAGACAAAGCTTCAACCAAAGAAGTTTTAAATTTATCTCTGGAGGACAGTGCGATGCTACCTTTACAACTGTTGACTTTATTGGGTTGGAAAGCCTGAGGGGAGTAAATTTCGTTCTTTGAACTACGATTGATGAAATACCTCCAGCAAAGCTTGGTCCCCAGGTACTGAGTTTTATTGGATGTTTCATAATATAGATGTTGAATAGAGGACGAAGAAGCGTGCTGGAAAGTGATTGATTAGTGCTGAACCGTAAGAAATCTATATTTTAGCTCCTGAACTGTAGCAGTCATGCCAAATGTATGCCATTTTACTCGTCTCAACAGTTTCTTTTGTACAGTGCAATTGGCGTCTCTCAATCGGACCAATTACTTATCAGAAGTAAACAAACACGTACTAAATACGTATACAGTGTATATATTTTCTCCTACATAAGTATTTAATCAATATATATATTTTTTTTTTATCAGCTAAATATCAACTTGTTTTACGAGACTGGCATACCATTCATCACTCTAACTAATTTCCAATACAAATTAAGTAGCCTTCCATTATAAAATGCCAACGAAATAAAAACAAGCTGGTTTTTGTCTTTGAACCAACTGCAGATTATTCGTAAAATATTGGAAGCCATCATTACCAGCTCAGTGATTTCGAAAGAGAAGGAGGTTTTTATCCGGTTGCGACACGCTCGCTGAGTCGGAGCTAATCTACAAAGCAAATTTGAGTCCAGCTTTAATGGCTGCTTTCTAGTTTCACTCTTGTTACCAAGGGAATTTCACTTCTATAGCAAAATTCTATTCAGTGAATGAGATTGCTGTTAAAACGATTGGGATTGATTACAAAAAAGGTTTACGCATGTAATTTTATTTTTTGTCAACTCTTTTTTTGAGGTGTTGCCCTCCGGATTACTTAACAACTATTGTAGAGGCTAAATACCTTGTCGCCAATATAATCCTTGGTAGGAAAAAAAGGTACTGGTGAATGGTTAGGTTGGCAACAAGGTATATAACCTCAAGAATAACAAATTTGAGTAGCCATCATAATGTTTAGGTTTAGAATTACATTAAATTTATTTCATAATCGTATTAAGGAATGCATTTTAAATGATTAAGTATGCACAGTATTTGTCTGAGAATCTACTCCAATTTTTTCACCCAGTCATTGTACAAAATTGTTTTTTAGCTTATCTAAACAATCTGTTATTGGCAATTCTGGTCAGTGAAAGACAGCATAAACAAGAGTTGGAATTAATAAGTTTAAAAGCAAGAGCAGCTAAGACGAAACGTGTTGGAAACTTCATCTCGCCAAAAATACGTGTTCAAGCCAATAACTGAAATTATCAACTTGAATGTTTTTGCTTGGCACCCAGGTCAAATGGCTTGATGAAGACGATTTTAAACAAAATAAGTTCAATTTCAATTAAAGATTTACTAACAGCTGGCTCATACAGATTAGTTGTATCGTTTAGTAATTAAAAGTCAATTATTGTAGCTGTATAACCCAACAAATTTTAATAGTTGAACCAATGTTAAAATGAGATGAAATTAAAAAACCTTTCTTTCAATAGACGAAATTAGGGCCACATGGTTCTTTCTTACACTTATCTGGCATACATATAAATACATAATAGAATACATTATTTACACAGACATTTAAACCCCGTTAGACACATTAATAATATAATATAACTAGCTGATTTAACGGAAATTTAAAGATATCGAATTTTTGTGACTCATTAAGTGTATTTTTATTTACAACTGTACTATTAAGATCAAATTTTCAAAGGCTTTACTTTCATATTAGGAGAACATGTGCCTCTCTACAACTTAATGGTTGTTCAAGCTCAATTCCGCTGGGGCCAGTCATTAAAAATAAATGTAACCGTTAAATAATCAAACTATTAGTTGTCTTGGGATGAAACGATTTGTTTGTATTGAAAGCTAGGCACCAACTAAATCATTTTCATTAAGGACTTTATCGGAAAATCTGCTTTACAGTTGCAGTAGAACTAAATTGTATTTTCCATTGAACAAATTACTAATCATGCAGATCTGATTTATACTCAGATTCAATCACGACCAAAACAACGTGATCTATATGGTAAAATTGCACAACTCTAATTAAAATTAATTGGATATTTGCAATAATTAAAGCTGTAATTCAGCATTAGGAGGTTTATGCATCTGTTTGGTGAAATTGATATTCAATGAAGCAATTATACCGTGTGTCTGGCAGAGAAATTAAATGTAAATTGTCCTCTGTTTGTAATGTATTAAGACTTTTTGCATTTGTATGGTTTCAGCATGATATTTAGCTATATTTTTGTTGATAACAGAGGTTGGTATTGTGACGATTACAAATATGTGGTATTTATTGTGTGGTCAACGTATTAGTTCCAGTACTATAGAATATTACAAATTACTCCTGGTTTGCTTAGTATGTTTTATGAACAAGCCAAAGGGCTATGTGGGCGGGCAAATACAAGGTTGGACGATTCCGCGAGATTTTCCATCAATTTCATATTCTATACCTTTTTGTCAGTTATAAATCAATTGCAAATCCCCAGACTACTGTGAACGTTTCTTACTCACTCGACTTAATTGATCAGGATGATAAAAATTTGATCAAAACAAAATATTATCAACATATTCTGATGCATTAGTCTGGTATGCATATTTATATTTGAATTTGAAAGAAGGGTGTTTTTGTTCTCTGGGGACCTCAAAACCAAAAAGTTAATCGGTCACAGGTCCAGGTCTTACCATGGGTCCTAAGTTAATAGCTTATACCTTACATGGCAAATTCCAGTAAAAATTGAGTGAGGGTTTCACCCAACACAAAAATATATGACTTGAGATTTGTCAATGAAGATTGTTTTATTGTTCACAATTACTGCGTGTCCCTCACACGCAAATTTGATCCGTATCACTGACCACATCTTCTTTATTTCTTCCCCCTGTTTGACCCTTGGTCCTTCTTTGTCGGTCCGTTTTCTCCTTGCGGTGGTTCCGGTGTATTGTTTTAGTCGAGAAAATGATTTGAAACTTATGCTCAAGCTACTGCTCGTGTATTTTCACACCATCTGTTTGTCTAGGTGTGTTTCTGGTCTCGTGGACTTCGTTGTATGAGGGACGGGATCAATGGATCTATTCTTTCTACAACACTTATGAACTTGGCCTAAAAGCGGTGAATGTTGATATCACTTTTCCTCCTGTGATTCCTTATGTAAAAATGCCACTGGCGTGAACAGCAAACATACAGAACAGAGTTTATGCATTGCTGAACACCATGGTATGGTTAAGACTCTTTCTTAATCTTACTGTGTACATAGAAACACTCACTTGTGCCTTCGAAGTAGATGGGGGTCCAGACGACCTGAGCCAGCGCCAATACCCGGGTAGAGGCTATGAGCCAGAAGGGTGTGTATCGCATGGCTCAATGACCAGGTTGGCTCGGGCCTGGCTCTTGGGATCTTTGGTAGGCGTGGGAGGCTAATGCGAGGCTAAGAGACATCATGGCCAGACAGGTGCAGTGACGTTGTGAAGTTATCGTTTTACAGGTTTTCACATTGTGGATGCGGAACCCTCTCCACCTAGAAAAAAACGTTAGTGTGAGTTTTAAATATTTAAAATTATTTTTTTTATTGCGATAGGATCAATGATCAGCGTGTTTTTACCTCGACATGCGTAAAAAGTGTAGGATGTAGCGAGAAGGCCTTTGTTGCTTTTTTAAACGTTTTTATTAGCCAGCTTTCTTGTCCGGTAAAAATTTTGTTATCAATTGTATACTAACCTCCCGATAAGCTAGAGACTTTAAACTTAAAACATAGCTCACAAATGGAAGACAATGCATTATTATATAATTTAATTTTCATATTTCCCTTGGGCTACGCCCCATGGGCTTGTTTTTATTTAACTACTGTCAATAAGCTGATTCTTATACCAGCACCACGAATATTAGAACAGAAACCAGTATGGACCTTAAAAACAAATTACGTAACTGCCCTAAAACATATACTACAACATTAACATTAGACAGTTCAATTTTAGCAAAGTTAAATCATGTTTACTTTTGGCCCAGTAACACATTGGCTTACGTTTATGCCTTGTTCATGTATTAAAACATGCTTGATCAATGAGAACTGCGTTCAGTTTCAAAGCCGCAAACAAGCTTATAAGAATTTTCACAGGATCTCACCGGCAATTGTCTAATGATTATTAGAAACTATACTAAATAAATAGGCTTACCATAGATATTCATTGTAATTTTGTATTAAAATGGCAGTTTATTTTGTTAGCAAATTTCCCACATAGGCAATAAACTTTTTTTATTATGTAAAAAATTTTCACTTTTCTGCTAATGTTCATTATGTAATCTTCTAAGGATTTAACTATGGATGGCAAAAACACACGTAAGATTAGATAGTTAATTTTCAACTGTTCTTATGCAGTTAAATGTCATTAGCAAAAGAATCCTCTAAAAGTGTTGTTACTAATAGCTACAGTTTTTAAATAATCAAGCTTCCTAGCTTGAAGTTTTTTCATACAAACAAACAGTTGTCATAACCTTAAAAACTGTCAAACCCCGTTTGTTGATATTCACAACGTATAGATCTTTGTGTATTTCGTTAAGTGGGATATAAGTTTTCCTTTGAAGTTCCTGCTGCCTTTCACTCTACAGTTTGCTCAGAGACTACCACTTAGGGACCACTTGCTTGGCATGAAATTTGTAAGCAATTTACAATCAAGACTTCACTTCAAGCTCCTTTGTTCTACTGGCGGGTTTGTTAGATCCTAACTGAAACTCGTCTAAAAAGGTCGAGTTGGAATTTTACAAAGAAACTAGGATTAAAACATGTTACATGTTTCAGTCTTTATTTATAAATTTTGTAGTTATTCTCAAAGGTATATAATTCCGATGGTAACCTCAGGTTACAGGTAAAAAATTTTATACTTTGTAGAGAAACTGTCAGCTTCTATCAAACATGTGTACAATAAATGTTCTCTTGTTTTTGCACTAAAAACGTTTATGATTTGTTTTACAAATTATTCAATTGAATAAAGTTTCCATGCCATCCCGAATAAAAACATGCTTTTCAAAACTTAATATAGTTATTTTACAGTTTTGCTTTTTGACTTTTTATTTTGTAGTTTTCAAACTCTTGAGACCGACCCTGGGCTATAATAATGTGGGTCTAAGTTGGCGTATTTGAGTATTTTAACAATTTGGATCATATAATTTGGTTTTAAAAAAATGAAGAAATAACTTTATAAGTGTATATCTTCTCTGTGGACACGAATAAACATAATAAATAGTTTTTGCTTAGATCAATAACAAATTAAATATGCTAATAAATCGTTAGACGATGAAAAACAATATTTGGTAGCTCCAATGAGTTGTTCTGGAAAGATATATTTCTTATTTTTCGAATATTAATAAGATATTGAAGGCACCTTTGTTGACAATAAATCAATATCTATTACCGTTAGTCATGCAACAGGACGATAAATTGAGTAAGTAAAATATGCAATCAAACTGTTTTGTAATGTCAAAATAAAAATTGAGTTTAAATTAATATTCATTTTCCATTTCCCTCGGCACCGACGTTACGCATTGTAAATAATTGACGGACGAGAGAAGTTTTTGTGATGAAAAATAAATGAGAAGCTGCATGCGTTTAGGAACGTTCCTGTATTACAAGTAAAAAACCTGTTGCATTGTTTTAAAAATACTAGTGATGTTTTATAATAAAAAAGATACATTACAGTTTTACTAGCACGATTTATCTATAACTTTATATATACTGTGAGAAATCTTGAAACAGAAATTCAACTTTGTATTTGTACTCAGCCAGCCATGTTCTACAAAACTATAAAATCCAAACTCTTGAACCTTAATTTTGAACAGGAACTGCCCCCCATGGTAATTTAGCCTTAACATTTATACTATGAAGTACAAAATAAGAATTGTTCATGCTTAAACAATTCTTATTTTATACTTCATAGTATGTAGCCAGTTTTTTTTATTTATTTAATTTATTTTATTTTATTTTTTTATAGAAAGTGAATGGAACCAAAAAGAGCACTTCAGGTTATTTTAAGTTTCAAAGGAATTAAGACAAATAGTCGGGTAAATATAGGATATGACCTTAAAAAAATTGCAAGAAAACGTTTTATGGTTTTATTTTGTAGAGTTGGGTTTGCAGAATGACATACTAAAAGTTGCCAAAAATCGGTGCACGAGAAAACCACTAAAATCACAATTTAAAATGGCGGCTTTTTTCAACATTGGACAAATTAAAAAAACATATTTCACATGTATTTGTTATGCACATTTTCCAAGATATTGACTTGGGACCACCGCCTGTATTTATTGAGTGGTTAGTACTTCATTTTGATAGGGAACATGTTTTTGACCGCCATCTTGGATCCGCCATATTGGACATAGATAATTTTTTTCAATGTAATGATAGTGTTGTGACACATCATTACCAACTACATTTTTACACTGATTTCAATGCCGAAATCCGTTTTTAAATATCTTTATTCATTTAGAAGATATATACAAAAGAAAACTCTGCACCATACATTTCTTATGGACGTTTCGTAGTTTGATATTTTTTTTTAAATTATTTTTCTTATATCTCCAGTTCTTATTAACGCTTGTAGTTCGTTCTAGGCTTAAAATATTCAGTAATGTAAGGGCTTTCATTTGAGCTCTTGATCATTAAAATCAGACGAGTTAAAGACCTGCTACGAACCTCAGAACAATATTAAATTTAACTTTTTAGAAATATATTTTTATTAAAAGATTTATAACTCGGGTTGTTAATACGTCACCGAGTTCTTTCTGGTCTCAAATTACTCAGTAAATGTTTGGCTTTAATTTTATTGATCATTAAACAAAATCTGACAATTTTAAAATGAGCCATGGACCATAATTTAACATTAGAATGTATTTATATTGAAATTTGTCTTTAGTTAAAGACGTATATTCCTAATTCTAAATAACTCCCAAAACTCTTTATAGTCTTAAATAATTCGCCAAAATATTGACTTTTATTTTAGCTATGGATTACTTTCCAGGAGTTATTAGGGTTTGCGATATATGTCCTTAACTAAAGACAAATTTCAAAATAAATACATTTTAATGTTAAATTATGGTCCATGGCTCATTCTAAAATTGTCAGATTTTGTTTAGTGATTAATAAAATCAAAGCTAAACATTCACTGAGTAATTTGAGACAAGAAAGAACTTGGTGACGTATTAACAACCCGAGTTATAAATATTTTAATAAAAATATATTTCTAAAAAGTTAAATTTAATATTGTTCTGAGGTTCGTAGCAGGTCTTTAACTCGTCTGATTTTAATGATCAAGAGCTTATCAATCAATCAATCAATCAAGAAATTTATTTACACAATAATTGCCAATACATAGGATACAAAAGTGCAAAAACCACAAATGGTTTGTCTGCACTAAAAATATTGTTTCTTATCTACCATACAGTTTTTGTCAGTTTGAATCAGTAGCATGCAGTTTTATGAGTTCTTAATTGTCTCTTGAGTAATTAATAACAAAAAAAAGACAACAAAGACACAAATATCTGTAAAAATTCAACAGTAACAATAACAAATAAACTATTGGAATAAATAACAATAATATATTACTTTAACTTCAACTAAAATGTAAATAAATTAAATGCATAATTGTAATAAATTAAAATTGTAACAAATCATTCCAAACAAGTTCCTTTAAATAATGTTTAAACATGCTATAACTATTTGCAAAAACCATATGATTTGTGAGGTTATTAAAACATTTGGGAACAAAAACTTCAAGTGTTCTACTTCCATACTTATTCCTGTGCTTTGGTACAAAATAATAATTCCTTCTAACATCATATGGGTGATTATTGACTATTTTCAAGCTGTCATCAAATAAATGATCAGTGGATATCAAAAAGATATATAACTTACTAACAGGTAGCAGTATAACAAAATGAAAAATCTTTATAATTGGTAACTGCTTAATGTGCACTGGAACAATACATTTGAGCGCTTGCTCCTGCAGATGCTCAATTTTCCTCAGAGAAGTCTTTGAAGCATTGCCCCATGCTCTCACACCATATCTTAATATTGATTCACACAATGACTGGTAAATCACCAATAGCACATTAAATGGCAGGACACTTTTTAAATAAAAAATTTTGCAAACACATGATCTGATTTTTTTACAAACATAATTAACATGTATATCCCATTTAAAATTGTGGTCAACATGAACCCCTAAATATTTAAAATCATGCACATTCTCTAAACTCTTACATTGACAACTTTTTGGGATAAGTGAGTAAGTATGATTATGTAAACAATCAAAATTATGGTAAGTAATGCTTACATTAGAACATTTAAATGCAGGTGAATGCACATGCATGACCTTGGACTTTTTGTCATTTATTACCAATCCATAATCATGACACCATTCTAAAAGGTTGTTAACAGCATTCTGCATATTTTTTCTGCCTCTATTATATTTTTGTTTGATACGACAATTGCAGTGTCATCAGCGTACATAAAAACCGTGTCTTCTT